GGGTTAGTTTACCACATTGACATTAGTCTTCGGGATCCATCTCGGGTTTTCATACCATGCCTTAGACATTGGGATAATTAATCTAGTAAACTAGGTTAATTAAAATTGGAGTCACTTAGGGTTTTTTCCTAGTTTACCCTAAAACAATTAAACAAGGTGGCGACTAAACAAGGTGGCGACTCATACATTCACGTGCATTTCTTCCTTTAGTCACATGCATTCACATGCCCATGACATTTTGGGGAGGGGTTCACACACGGGCGTGCTATTTGGTAAAGCTCAATCTTGCGACCCTCTGTCCTGCAAGACCAAATTTTGTCTTACCTGGCATGGGCGTGCTGATTGGCACGGCAAGGGTTTGCTAGCCTTTGACCTGCAAGACTGATTTACACCTTTTTGGAGCACGGGTGTGCTATTTGGCACGGCTTGGGCGTGTGCGTGTCTGACCTACTGGAGTAAATTCTGTATTACCTAGTAAGGGCGTGCTGATGATCACAGCAAGGACGTGCTAGGGTCTGACCTGTAAGACCAATCTACACTCTTGAAGCACGGGCGTGCTGATTAGCACGATCAGGGCAGACTAAACCCTATTGTCTTAACTTGTACCTAAAATAACTTAACTAAACACAGAAGAGCAGGCATGATTTAAAAAATTTTGGGAATAATGATAAAAAGAAATAACGAAAATAAACCAAAATAAGAAAGTTAAGGAAAGGAATACGGGTTGTCTCCCACAAGCGCTTTTGTTTAACGTCGTTAAGCTCGACACACTAGACCCCATTTAGGCAAAATTAAGCAATGCTTATAACGGTTTTGACTGGATCGAAGTCTCCACTTTGGTAAACTTTTAACCGTTGAGAATTAACCTTGAAACTCCGGTTTCCATCCACTATTTCAATTGCTCCATGTGGAAAAATTTCCTTGATTGTGAATGGTCCAGACCACCTAGATCGCAATTTACCTGGAAAAGACAGAGTCTAGAGTTATAGAGTAATACCTGTTGGCCTGCCTTTAGATTCCTTAGGATAATATGCTTATCATGCCACTGTTTGGTGCAGTCTTTATAGATTTTGGCATTCTCATAAGCATGGAGTCTCATTTCATCCATGATATTCAATTGAAGCAACCTTTTTTGACCAACCTCCTTAACATTAAAGTTAAGAAACTAGATTACCCAATATGCCTTGTGTTCTAACTCAACAGGTAGGTGACGATTACCCAATATGCCTTGTGTTCTAACTCAACAGGTAGGTGACAAGCCTTACCATAAACCATTCGATACGGAGACATACCAATTGGTGTTTTAAATGTCATTTTATAGGCCCAAAGAGCGTCATCGAGCTGCCGTCAAACCGCTTTCTAAAATACGTGCTGCCGTCTTGCTTGCTCCAAAGTGTCCTCCACATTCTATTGAATGACAAAATCGAAGTACACTTTCATTTTCTCTTCCGATATACATCGTCGAAAAAAGTGTCACTACAATAGTTGAACAAGAAAGGCTCCTCCCAATAGTAATATTTAATATCATGAAAATTTTTTTTCTTTTGTTGATAAGAAAGACTGTGAGGAGTAATCTTACAAGCAAGGTAGTTAACTATGTAGGCATACCATGGAGCTCGTGTATTTGCTAGAAGAAGAAGATGTTCATGGGGGAAGTCTTCATTGATTTGCAATTCTATCTGCTTTTCTCCCCTAACTCAAGCCTGGATGAGTGATCAGCTACAAGGTTCTCGGTTCCCTTTTTATCACGAATCTCCAAATAAAACTCCTGCAAAATAAGAAACCAACGAATTAATCTAGGCTTTGCATTTTTCTTTTCTAACAAATATTTAATAGCTGAGTGATCAGTGTAAACTATTGTCTTAGGTCCAATCAAATATGCTCTCTGAGTGATCAGTGTAAACTATTGTCTTAGGTCCAATCAAATATGCTCTAAATTTATCAAAAGCAAAAACAATAGCTAGAAGTTCTTTTTCAGTGGTAGCGTAATTTAGTTATGCATCATTCAATGTGCGACTAGCATAATAAATGACATTCAACTTCTTTTCCTTTCTTTGCCCAAGAAAAACTCCTATAGCATGATCACCAGCATCGCACGTAAATTCAAAAGGAAGAATCCAATCTAGTGTAGCAATGATAGGCGTTGAAATCAATTCTTTCTTCAACCTATTAAAAGCATTCAAACACTGTTTGTCAAAATCAAAAGGAACATCCTTAACTAATAAATTATAAAGAGATTTTGTGATTTTGGAGAAATCCTTGATAAATCTCCTATACAATCCTGCATGGCCAAGAAAACTTCTTACTCCTTTTACTGAATTTGGAGGTGGTAGCTTTTCAGTTACCTCTATCTTGGCTTTGTCCACTTCAATTGGCTTTGTCCACTTCAATTCCTTTTTGTGAAGATTTATGCCCTAAAACAATAAACTTCATTAAACCATAAAAATGACATTTTCCCAATTCAAAACAAGGGTTAGTGTCGCTCACATTGCTGCAATTACTAAAAGAGAGGGTTTAAAAGACAAGAATCAAAGGAAAAGAACCAAACACAAGAAACCAATCATCCATAATATTTCAAATGAACTTCTCAAGCCATGTAATGGACATCATGCACCTTTGAAAAGTCGCAGGAGCATTGCACAACCCAAAAGGCATTCTCCTATAAGCAAAAGTACCATAAGGGCAAGTGAAAGTGTTCTTCTCTTGATCCTCAGGAGCAATAGGTATTTGAAAATACCCTGAATAACCATCTAAAAAGCAATAGTAGGGGTAACCTACAAGTCTCTCAAGCATTTGATCAATAGAAGGTAAAGGAAAGTGATCTTTTCATGTTGCTTTGTTCAATTTTGCTTTGTTCAATTTTCTATAATCAATACACACACGCCAACCTGTGACAGTTCAAGTAGGAATTAACTCATTATTTTTGTTAGAAATAACTGTCATACCTCCTTTCTTTGGGAAAACTTGAACGGGACTTACCCAACTGCTATCGGAAATTGGATAGATAATGCTAGCATCCAAAAGTTTTATGATCTCAGCTTTGACTATCTCTTTCATGTTTAGGTTCAATCTTCTTTGATGCTCAATTGAAGGTTTGTAGTCTTCCTCCATCAAGATGTTATGCATGTACACACTTGGACTTATTCCCTACAAATCTGAAATTGACCATCCTAGGGCTTTCTTATGTTTTCGTAGAACCTGCAATAGCCTTTCCTCTTGATCAAGTGTAAGTGAGAAGAAATAATAACAGGGAAAGAGTTATTCTCACCTAAGAATTCATGTTTTAAATGAGATAGAAGTTGTTTTAATTCTTGCTTTGGTGATTCACTTCTTTCTAATCTATGATACTTTGATTCTTAATGTCATCTTTATCTTTAATATGCAAAGTGTCCTTTACACATTCATCAACAACATCAATCCTAAAACACTCATTATAATCCATGGGAAGTTTACAAGATTTAAGAACATAAAAAACAACCTCCTCTTGACCTACCCTCAAGATTAATTTACCTTCATACACACATCAATCAATGCTCTTGCAGTTGCAAGAAAGGGTCTTCCAAGGATTAAGGATCCTTCTCTATCTTCATCAATGCCAAGAATAACAAAATCAACAGGAAAGATAAATTTACCTACCTTAACGAGCAGATCTTCTACAATTCCTCTTGGGTATTTGATTGATCGATCTGCCAATTGATTGATCGATCTGCCAATTGTAGAGACATCCTTGTTGGTTTCAGCTCTCCCATCCCTAGCATCTTAAAAACTTCATAAGACATAAGATTAATGATAGCACCTAAATTTGCTAAAGCTTTTTCAAAATCAAGATGTTCAATATTACAAGGGATAGAAAAACTTCCTAGATCTTTTAATTTTGGAGGCAATTTATTATGAATGATTGCACTACACTCCTCTGTCAACATTACCGTTCCTTGATCATCAATCTTACTTTTCTTGCTCAGGATCTCCTTTAGGAACTTTGCATAACTGGGCATTTGGGCAAGGGCTTCAGCAAAAGGGATGTTGATTTGAAGCTTTTTGAAGACATCAAGAAACTTGAGGAAACTCTTGTTGAGGAAACTCTTGTCATCTTATGTTTTCTTTAACCCTTGTGGAAAAGGAATAGGTGAAACATAGGATTTTACTGCCTCTTTCTCTTCTAAGTCAATGATGGGAACCTTTTTCTACTCTTTCTTCTCATTCTCCATCCTGGGTGGATCCTCCAACTGTTTGCCACTCCTTAAGGTGATAGTTTATACATGTTCTTTAGGATTTTTTTCAGTATTGCTAGGTAACGTACCTTGGGGTCGGGTACCTTGGGGTCGGGAGGCCATCATGTTTGCAAACTGTCCTAATTGAATCTCCAAGTTCCTTATCGCAACTTGTTGGATTTTGTTGTTTTCTTGAGTTTTGTTCATGAAGTCCATGTGAGATTTAGAGAGGGTAATAAGGAGATGATCATGAGACTTTTTCTCTTGAGGCAGAAAACTTGGTGGTGTGTTCAAAGGGTTATTTGGATTCCCAAAAGAAAGATTGGGATGATTCCTCAACCTATTATCATAAGAGTTAGAATACGGGTAGTTCTTCCTTCCTTGATTCATCACATAGTTTACTTGCTCCAACGTTTGTGGATTTAAAGAATCTAACATGCATTCTCGAATCCAATGTTGCCCATTACACCTGTCATAGGCTTGCACAATAGAATTAACCAAGTTAGTAGTCAATAAGTCCAACTTTCTTATCATATTGTCTACCTTGGCATTGAGTGTGGTAATGGCATCAATCTTATAAATGGTAATGGCATCAATCTTATAAACTCCTGTAGTCTTCTTTCTTTCGGAGTTGCTTTGATAATGGCTATTGCTTGCCATCTCTTCTATCAAGTCATATGCCTCATCATTTCTTTTCTTTCAAAAGATCCACCTGCAGCTGCATCTATAGTAATTTTCATGTTAGGAGATAATGCATTATAAAAAGTTTTTATCTGTAACCTCTTGGTTAGGCTGCGATGTGGGCACTTCCTTACTAGGTCCTTAAATCTCTCCCAAGCTTCATACAAACTCTCTTGATCATGGTGGACAAAGGTCATTATCTCATTGCGCAACTATCTCATTGCGCAACTTTGTGGTTTTTAAAGATGGAAAAAAATTTTGCTAAAAATTTGTGGGCTAATTCCTCCCATGTTGTAAAACTTCTAGCAGGGCATGATTATAACCAGGATCGTGCTTTATCTATCTCTTAGAGTGAAAGGAAAGAGTCTTAATTTTATGGTATCCTTAGAAACTCCATTTTGTTTGAACGTATTGCAAATCTCCAGGAAATTTGTGATATGGACATTAGGATCTTCAATAGGTAAACCTCCATATTGAATTGAGGTGGAAAACATTTGGATAATTGCAGGTTTAATTTCAAAATTATTAGCTTCCACCCTAGGTCTCATGATACTTGAGGTTGTTCCATTGAGAGAAGGCGTTATGTAATCTGGCAAGGTGTGGACATCGGGTTGAGGTCCGTCCTGTGGGTTTAGTTCATTAGCCATATTTGCTTGTTGTTTTGGTTTGTTCTCACATGCTCTCCTAGTAGTGTTGTTCCTACGACAAGTCTTTTCGATTTCTGGATCAAAGATCAAGGGCTCAGTTCTACCTGACCTTCTTTGCATAAAAACCTGAAATAATCTATTTACTGGATCAAAGATCATAAGGGCTCAAGTTTCTAGCCTGACCTTCTTGCATAAAAACCTGAAATAATCTCTAGAATTAAAATAAAAAAATAAAAAACAAATGTCTAAAATAATAATAGGGTAATTAGTATTGAATATTGATAACGCCAATACGCCTCGGTGGAGAGATGAGGACATAGCAAGAGAAGTCTCTTAGATAGTAGTCGGATTGACAATGGATTTTCGCGTGTACGAAATTGCAAACAAGTAATTATCATGAGTAGAGGTAAATCGTTCTCGGGATTGTAATACCAATACCAAAATTAATAATTAACCTACTATTATTTAAATGGCAATTTAGGGGAAATTATTTTAAGAACTAATTGCAACACATAAAAGATAATAAAAAGATTCAAGTAAAGCGATATTTGGCTTAAAAGAAATCAAAAGGATTAAAAACTACTAGGGATTTGACTTCAAACTTAAATTCTATCCAATTTATTTTTTTATTAGTTCGTTAATCAATTTTAATTGTTCAAGTAGGGGAAACAACCCTAAAATCACTAACAAGCTCTCCCGATGTATTGTTAACTATTTTAACAAAGTCTAATTACCTATCTTCCAATAGTTCAATCAAACATGAATTAAATCATTAAGTTTTATGGTTTGTTTATGAATTCATAACCTAAGGTTGTTCACTTATGAAAACCCCCCATAAGTCACACCATATAGCTTCCGCATCAAGTTATTATTCTCATGTAATTTATTTCATATCAAAAACCCTTCTCCGGATAGTGATTAATGAAGTAAATCAATCCAGGGGAGAAACTCTGCCTGGAAGCATTAAGTTCAATAATAAATTATACATTGAACAAAGAAAAACAAGTCTAATATTATAAATTGGAAAAGAAATTAAGCTACGTCAAATCACTAGTATTAGAGTTTAGTTCGACATAGTAATTAAATAAAACTCAATTAAAAAACTTGATAATAATTCCATAATCAATGTGAATAATGAAAAGTAAAAACAAGATTAAGAGTTTAGAGATAAAAACTAGTCAAATAATGTGGACAACTTCCTCGAATCTCGACACAATTCTTGATCACTTGAAGTCTTAAAGAGAGAAAAACAGTAGAACAAAAGATTATAGAACCGGAGATATCTTATACAATGAACGTGTTCTCTCTTTATATAGGCTTCCTGGGAGAAAATCTGACTTCGTTTAGGAAACAAAGTCTTCATTAAGTAAGAAACCTTTTGGAAATAGAAAATTGTGTCGGCTTTGAATTTCTTCTCCATTAGGACTCTCCCATGCGCCTAAATAGGATTAGAAGTTGATTTGCACGTCAAGAAATCATCTTATATGGGCCCATGTAAGTAGTAGGCACTGGCTGGCGTTTGCAAACTAAAATAAAACTTGATTCGCAACATGGGCGCGCTGTACGGGACGGTCAGGGCGTGCCAGAGCCTAAGTTCTAAGGATGGTTCAGCACAGACCGTGCTCAGGGGTAAGTTTAGAGAGGAATCTGTAGCATGGGCGTGCCACATAGCACGGCTAGGGCGTGCTAGGCTCTGAGTCTTTATGATGGAATGTAGCACGGATCGTGCTTCGGTAAGCACGCTGTGAACCCCTCCCCCGGAAATAGGCATATAATGCATATGACTAAGGGCAGAAATGCACGTGAATGTGTGAGTCGCCACCTTGTTTAATTATTTTAGACGTGAAATGTTGTGAGTCGCACCTTGTTTAAATTATTTAGGGTAAACTAGGAAAAAAACCCTAGTTGCTCCAATTTTAACTTAACCTAAATTACTAGATTAATTATTCCAATGTTTAAGGCACAATCTACGAACCCGAGGTGGATCCGAGACTGTCATGCTGATGAAACTAACCAATGCAATGAATGCCTTTGCAAAGGTAAATGATGTTAATGGGAACCAATGAAAATGTTTAAGTGATTTCGCTTGCTGCTCGGGTTAAATCCCAAACCGTACCTACGTACTTCCCGTTTGAAGGAAGATCAAGTTGACAGTAGTTTTCGATAGGCCTTTTTAAAAGGGCTTTGAATGGGTATGCTTAATGCATGAGTGTGGTGTTGCTTCGTGCATTTTGTTTAGGGCATTTTTTTTGCCAAAAAGAATTGATTGATTGATTAGGCGTTTGTTGCCCAAAAGTGTTGATTGTAAGGCTTTTTAGCCCAAAAAAGAACTGATTAGGCAAATTTGTTGCCAAAAGTTGAATGTGATTTTTTAGCGATTGTCACCAAAAATTGAATTATCCTGAAGGCCTTTCAAGCCAAAATGAGTTGATTTAGGCAATTTGTTTGCCAAAAAATGGTTGATTGGGCGATTGTCGCCAAATGAGTGATTTAAGGCTTTTGCCAAAAGAATGATTAATTCAGGCAATTTTGGCCAAAGAGTTTCGATTTAAGGCGATTTGTTGCTAAAAATGCATTAATTACTTATAGGCAATTTTGTTTGCCAAAAAGTGATTCAATTGAATTGTGGCGATATAGGCAATTTTATTGCAAAAAACGTTTTAATAAGGCCATTTAGCCGCAATTATTGTTAATTGGAACTTAAGTCGGACTGTTCGAAATAAAAGCGATTTATACCAAAGGTCCATTAATTGCGAGATAACTTAGCCAAATTGTCGGATTTAGGCTTTACACACGATTATTAGTTAACCGGGATTTAAGCTTAATCAATATTAATTAAGGCAGTTTATTTGCCAAATTGATGACGTGAAATGCATTTATGCAAACATGTTAAATTCAGATGGAGTAGAAAGAAGAATATGCATGAAAATCTGAAAATAATGGGCAGAGTTTTCGTTATTACTGAGTTAATCGGGCGGCCGATTCTTAGCTTCAGCTTGAAAACTCCAGATTAGCTCCTCGTTGGGAATATTGATTAGAATTATATTTAATTTAATGGTCAAATATCACAACAGCAGAGTAATAAAAGCCTCACTAAATGCAGAAAAGCATAAAAGAACCGCAATGAGCATGAGGGAGAAGAGAGCGTCGTCAACACAAACTGAGTGAGTAAAAAGTCACACCAGGGCTGTATTTATAGGGAAAACCCGGCTGGAAGAGGCGGCAGCTGGCCGCCCTGGACGGGCGGTAGCTGCCGGCCTGGAGGGCGGCCCCGCTTGGCCGCACGGGGGCGGAGGAGGCCGACGGCCGAGCGCCGCGCCGTGAAGGGCGGGCGCCCCCGCCGTGGCGCGGACCGCCGCCGTCCGTGGCTTGTCCACTTTCTAGTTTTTTCAATTCCGGAGGCTTTTCGGTAGTTCCGTACCTTTCAAAAAATATTCCGGACTAGTTGTGAGGTGACCCTTTTCGCACTGTCTCTGCGAATCTCGCAATTTCCGGACGTTTTCAAGTACCAATATGGGCATAGCTTTCTTCGGTGAACTTTCCGAATGGCCTCCAGTCTGGCCGGACTGTTTACAGTCCGGGAAAACAGGCTCTTTGAGCCTCAAAATTTGAGTATTCACACAAGCCTTTGGATGGATGTCCTCTTTTGGCACGGGCATGCCAGATAGCACAGCTTGGGCATTCTAGGGCCTGAGTCTCCAAACTAATTTTCCTTGATTCTAGCACGGGCGTGCTGAGTTGCACGACCTGGGCGTGCTAGAGCCTGAGTGTTCTGCTTTATTTTGCTTTTTTCTGTGCCAAAATTCTTCAAATTTCCTTAAGATCAAGCAAATTGTGTTTCAAGGAATCTTTGATGAAAAATATAAATAAAACTAAATAAAAAACTAACTAAAGTAATTAAAACTACTAAAAATCCTAATAAAAAAATTATATTAAAAATACTATAAAAATAACACTTATCAGTCAAGTCCCTTGGTTTTATGCCCACTAAAACTAGGGAAACCCTTAATTCTGTACTTGACATCGAAAGATGCTGGAATTAGAGCCATGTCAGTGTAAGCCGACGAAGCTGGTATTGAGAAGGCAGTGTACTACTTTAGCAAAAAGCTTCTTCCAAATGAATAGAAATATAAATTGATTGAGAGAACTCGCTTAGCAATGGTTTGGGCAACTAGAAAGCTTCGACACTACTTTGAATCTTATAAGGTAATTACAGTATCAAGGATGGACTCGATCAGATATTTGTATGACCATCAGCACTAGTGGGGAAACTAGCAGGATGGTTAATCTTATTATTAAATTTTGATATTGAGTATGCCACAAAAAAAATCGTCAAAGGCCGAGCAGTCGTAGATTTTCTAGTGGCTCATCCAGTTGAAGCCAGTGAGCAATAGGAGATTGATTTTCCCAATTGACATATGAACATGATAGAAAAGAAAGGATGGAAGCTCTACTTTGATGGTTCCGCTCATAGCAAAGTGTGAATACTCAAATTTTGAGGCTCAAAAAGCCAGTTTTCTCGGACTGCAAATAGTCCGGCCGGACCGGAGGCCATTTTGGAAATTTATT